GCCAAGGTTATATAGCTGCTTAAGTGATAAAGAATGGAGTTGAACAGTCTGACTTCAGAACACTTGTATAACTACTATGCAATGCTACCTCTCATTTTTAACTAACTCTTTAAAAATTTGTAGCACATTGGTAGCTAGCAATGAAGTCACAAAGATGAGTTTTCACAGACTCATACATATGTCAAAGCTTCTCAATTTCAATGTAAGCCTTACTATAAAACAAAAATGCTGTTATATATTGTATATTCAAGACTTACAGCTCCCAAGAGTTCCAGACTGGTAAAGAAGTGAGACCTCGATTTATTTTCAGTTTCCTGAAATTTCATTTCTGCAAAAGACATAGCCAAAAGCTAAAAAATTATTTCAAGTGCTGATGTTACTTTGAATTATTTGTATTTACTGTGTTTTACCCTCATGTGTAGCCCCATTCTCTGCTGAAACTTGCAGGTGCAAGAATACAAGCCCGTGCCATGTAGGCTGCTTAAAATAAATTATACAATACATGAATATAGTAAAGTCAGAAAATACTGGTTAACAAGATCACCCAAAGAACCCAATTCTAGAGACAATAATCCCTCCTATTTGAGTATATCCTTTCAAATGATTTCTCAAGGAAACATAAGTATATTACAATGTTACAACAGAAAAAAGATTATACATATTGCTCTGTAACTTGTTTCTAATTTAATGTATTATGAATACCCTTCCATTTTAAGAAAGATAAACCAGTATCATAATTTTTAAGTGACTGTATAGTGCTGCATTATATGATCTTGATTTTAAAACTAATATAACCAACTCTGGGATTCTTAAGTCTTATATATAGACTAATAAAACAGTGATTAGTTAAAAACTGTCAAGTTAAGTGATTGATAGAAGTATACTAGTTATCTGTGTTTTTTCTGTTTCAATTTTTCTTGACCCTAATTCTGTCTATCTCAAAGAGACATCACAAAAGAGCAAACCATGACAAAGTGTTGTAGTATCAAGTTCATCATTCAAAGATTTACGGGCTAGATCCCAGTAAGAATTCCAAGAAGCAGAATTCAATTCCAGGTCTTGGCCCTAGCTTCAGTCTGCTCAGAGCATGTGTTTAATCAGGGCAATCAGCTGAAACACGGACTTAACATGCATTTCATCATGGCAAACTGCAAATGACTGATGAGGAAGGACAAGCCAGCACCAGCTCCTTGTCCCTAAGCCAGGGGAACACTGTTAAGTTTAGAGCTAAGGCTTCTTCAACTACCAAATTTCAGCCACTAAGAAAA